GGTTGTGTCCAGATGTTCCGCTTTACCGGCCCTTTGACACGCGGCATGGACTTGGCAGTCTGGATTTCGAAGAAAAGGGAGTTGTTTATTTTTTAAAAAAGCAGAAAGCACCAGGTTAAAATGCACACGCCGAGATTTTCCTAGTCCCTGGCAGGCAGCTGGGCAGGCAACTGAATCCGCTGGAAACCCACTCCGCAAACTAGACCAGCTCTGCTGCCCGGGCCGAGCCTTTCTCCAAGGCAACAAATGGCAAAATTTTAAAGCAAGAAGGCGACGCAACAACAACCAAAAGTCCCCACACCTTCCTTTTTTTTCTCCTTCCCTTTACAACAATTATATATATTAGCAAATCTACACATACTGAACTTCTCCATCCCTCCTCTTCCCCCCTTTCCCCCGCCCGCAACGCACGCTTCTCCAAACACTCCTCGTTTTGCATCCTACACCTACGTGGTCCTGGCTGCGGTGTGAGAAGCCAAGGCAGGAGCACGGCTCTGCCTCCCGAGGAGGGAGGCGCCCGGGGCCACCTGCTCGGTGCCGTGGGTGGTGCCCGGCCCCCAGCCCCGTCCCGCCGGGCCCCGGTCCTCCCTAGCTCGCCTCCTGCCTGCTGCAGCCATCCAGGAGCTCAGTCATGAAGGAGATGTACACTATGGCCAGGCGCAATGTCTCTATCCGGGAGAGCCTCTTCTCGTAGGCGAAGGTGGGCACCTTCTTCCTCAGCTGATCAAACGCCTCGTTGAGGTTGAACATCCTCTTCCTCTCCCGTATGTTGGCAGCCTGGCGCTGGGCGTAGGTGATAACCCGCTTTCTCCTGGGTCTGTCCAGGAGGGAAGCGCTCCGCATCCTCTCCTCTTCCTCCTCCTCCTCCTCGTCGTCTTCGGGATCTCCATCTCCGAAGGCAGCCAGGGGCAGCCCCCGGGCCATCCCCTCCCGGAGCGACAGGGCTCTGTCCCCGAAGGGAGGCCCGGAGGTGACCTCGCAGAGCCCCAGGCTCGGCCCGGCCCGGGGGGGGCCCTGGGGGGCGCCGAGGGAGAGGTCGGCCACGAAATCCAGCACCGAGGCGCCCAGCAACCCCTCTGGGCAGGGCACTTGCGGGGCTCTGCCGTGCAGCTCATCCAGCAGCCCCGGGCGCTGGTGGGCTGGGAAGAGGCCGGCTGACATCTTACTTCAGAGAGGGCTTAATCTGGTCCCCCATCCCCAGCCCCAGCGGCGTTAATATTTATAACCCCCCGGATAACAGGATTAGCAGGACTAGAAAGAGCGGCTGTAAAATTTCTCGCCGTGATGCTGATGAGAGGAGACAGGCAGCCCCCTCGGGGACGCGTGGATGTTCCCGAGAGAGGAGTCCCCAGCGAGTCAATCCTGTCACAGCGATCAAGGACAGTTCCTTCTTGGCAAAACCCTCCGCTCTTACCTGCTGCGCACTTTTGTCTCTTCTTACACACCCGCAACCAAACGATTTTCAGCCTCTTTAAAGCCCGCAGCCGCAGAGCCGGGTCTCCACTGGGCTTGTTTTCCTGCTTTCTGTCGGGATCTCTGAACCCTGAGAGCCAGCCTGACAATTGATGTCAGGCAAGTGCATGTATGCTTTTAATGATGTCCTGAAGAGGGGACCTGCACGCAGAGGGTCACCGGGGAATGTTTACCCTGTATCCCAGCGCAATGGGAGCTGAATGACAGGACCTCCATTAGCCTAAGTAAGCATTGTAGGGGACCCGATATTGCATTCCCAGTAGTAACTGTTGGAATCGTCTCTCCATTCCCCCTAAATCCCCTTCAACTAGAGTTCAAACATCTCTCCAGTAAAAGGCTGCTTCGTAAAGCTCATTGCGGTTCAGGCAATCTCAAAGCACTTGCTTTGAGACTCCTTCCTCCTGCCCGTGAGGCGAGGATAAGCTGGTCCTATTCAGGGCAGCGGTCGCTCTTACACCTTTGGTAGAGCCGTCCCGGTCACCGGCGGCGCACAGAGGAGTCAACCTGGCTGCACGCACTGATAGCGCTGGATACATAGCGCAAAATACCGTGAAATGCATATAAACACACCCGTACACCCGACACCGCCGAATACCTTTCTTTGATCGAGGTTTCCTTGGGGACGGACGTTGGGGATTGTTTTGCTTTTGTCTTGGGAGGCTGGAAGAGGTTAGGGGTTGTGTCTTCACCCTCCCACACCATAGACTGTCTCTAAATAAACAGCCCGGCCCTGGCAATCCCTGGCAGTGTTAGACACACCCAGGCTGAATCGGATCGATTTTCTTTGGCACACGATTTGTGCACACAGCTCGTTTAGGAGTGGCTGGCCATTACTCTTGCACTGCCTTCGTAAAGCCTAATCTTCGCCTTTGTCATGCATTGTTGCCACTCTCGCTTTGGGGCTAATTAATCTTTAATTTCTAAGGGGATTTCAAAGCCCATCAGATCAAAGGAGGCGGGTGGGGGCGGCCGAAGGATCCCGCTCCGCGAAAATCCTTCCTGTTTGCCTACAGGACCGCAAACATTTCCGACCGCGGACCAGGATCAGCCGTCCTTTACAACACAGTGAGCGAACCACGCATCCCCTTTTCCCGGGAAAGATGCCGCGGGAAAGACACTTCCCCTCCCAGCTCACCCCCCCCGGCTCCGCGGGCTGTCGGAGCGGACGGAGCTACATTGGACAGCTAGCGGCGGCGCCGAGGGGGGGTGGGGTGGGGAAAGGCGGGAGGGGGGG